CACTTTAAATATTTTTACAGAACTATTGTAATATTTGAGCCATTTCTGCTGTCCAACTACTTCTTACAAAAGACATTTTTAATGTTAATTAGAATTTTTTTTTTTTCTAGTTTTTGGCAGACAATCACTTTTTGGCACAACACCGGCTATTGCAGTTAATAATACAACAGTTTCTTGCCATTTTTTGTGTTTCTTTTTATCGCTGTGTAACTGAGTTCAATTGAAAGCCTGCATGCGCCAGTACCGCTTGCCACAAGTTCCCAGAATCCTTTGCGGTTTTACCCCTGAATGACGTCACATTTTTGGTGGGCCGGTCTCTAGTCAAAATGCCCGGGCCGATTTTTTGTCCCAGTCCAGCCCTGCCCAAGGGAAATTGTTTTAATTGTTTATTAATGAATTATGGGTTTTCAGCCAAAGAGTTTACTCTTTAATTACAACTTACATAATTTCTATTCATCTTCTAGTGGCCATAGTTATTGTATAACACAGGAAGAAGTCAGTCATCATAATAAAGGTTCAAAGAAATAATTAACGTTTGACACAGGAAACCATGTTTTGACAAACTATACACACCTCTACACACATTTCTTGTCTATTTTACACTATTTTTTTTTTTTCATTATCTGAGTTTATTTAGCAAGTCTTTTGAGCATGGAAATGAACTGGATCTTTTTTAAGAAGATGTTTTTATGTGGCTGCTTTTTTAACCTTGAGAAACTGAAGAAAATATCATTTGTATGTCATGTGGGTAAAAGTGTAGTATCGGTGGCTTTTCCTGGTAGCGTTTTTGTTGTCATTTGAGAAAAACACCCTCCTCTTTTTATTGAAAGACACCCCTTCCTGGGTCTCACATAATTCCAGACATTGCAAATCTTCAGTCGTGTGTGCAGTGATTAACTTCAACTTGATAACAGCTTTGTCTCTTAAGACAGTCTCTGCAGCCTGTGTATGTGCTGACTTATTTTATATATTTTTCTGAATGTATGACATTTTCTTGTTTAAGAACGCATTTAATTTGATTCAACCTGGATCTCCATCAGTGGGTCTCAGATTTTGGAGGCCGTTCCAGAAGAAATCATGCTGCAGCGTTCCAACATCCAGTTCCATAACATTCTGGTTCACTGGTACAGCTGGATCAGACTCATGTTTACTCCTGGTAAAAGTAGTGAATGGTGCGAAGGGTTTCAATAAGGGGATCACCTGAAATGACTTTCAGCTTCTCAACCATCTTCTGCCTAATCAAACATGTGGATGTTTTTGACTCTGGAATGTATTTCTATGGATTTTATGCAGATGTCCAGGTTTTGCTTTGTTTTGAGTGATACACTTAAATATTAAAGGTACGGCATCAATGATATAGCGCGACTAGCTCTTTAACGCGTTTGCACCGTCCAGCCGCACAGACGGGGCGATACGCGCTAACTTGCTAACGGAGATTTGCCGCGTTAATGCGGTTATGGCGTCAACTTCATTCTACCAAGATTAATGCTGACAGCACTAATGAAAAGGACTAACAAATAATGAAGCCACAACATGAATCTTTCTAATACGGTTATGTGGTCTGGGTGTGATTTAAAACAAGTGTTTTCATCAGAATATATATCTCTTAATTTCAATGGATACTTTGAGATTTAAGTTTTTAAATTGTCTCTATTGTATCCTGACACGTTGATTGTTTATATGAAAAATACAAAAGATGCAGCTTTCTTCTCTGTCCATGTTCTTATACACATTTCAGCAACCACCTCGGGAGGGATTTTAATTCAATTCGATTCAATTCAATTTTATTTATACAGCGCAAAATCACAAAAAAAGTTGCCTCAAGGCACTTTATATTGTAAGATAAACCCTGAAATACTACATACATAGAAAAAAAACAACAATCATTTAACCCTGATGAGCAAGCACTTTGGCTGCAGTGGGAAGGTAAAACTCCCTTTTAACGGGAAGAAACCTGCAGCAGAACCAGGCTCAGAGCAGTAATCTGAACTATTTCAAGTCATTGTCATAATCCTTGATCACTGTTAGCAGTCAGCATAAAAACTGCTTTGTAACACCCCTCCCCCTTTAATAAAGAAAGTGTGTTTCATTTTCTTTTAAATTGTCTTACAGTTGTTTTTAACCTGACACAAATGAGTGAACGCACACGCGCGCTTAAAACAGCAAGTATCAGTATAGATTTTGCTCATTTGTTGTTAACCTTTTTCTTGCCTAAAAGCTGTGATGTGGTCATGATGTTGTGGTAAAAGCTGCATCTTTTTCTTTATGATGCTTTTTACCCCCTTTTTCCCCTTTTCTTTATGAATCATTTGACAGTTTGTGTGTCGAGCAAAGCAAATGTAAAAACCGCGCATGACTAAAGTCAGAAATGTGCATAGCTAAAATGAAAGAGAAAGTAGTTCATAAAATGTGACTATATTTGTGCAAATGATCTGGGGAAGAAAAAGAAGTGCACAAACTAAGAAGGCAACAAATAGCAATGGAATAGTCTAAACCACAGGAAGACTGGTTTGTACCTGTAACCACACACATCAAAGGCCTGGCAGATGATGCTTAAAGAGTTACTTTACCTTTAACACTCTCTGTAACAGTTAACCACTGTGTTTAACTGAATTTATACCACCTGACTGGTCTTCACATTGAAATCTGATCTGCTGAAACAAAAGGCCCATTACCAAACACTTGCATACATACTTAGTATGAGGCTCACATATCATAGGTGAGTGTGAAGAATAGCCATTAATCATTGTTGTGTGTCTGAGAAATTGCTGGTGTGCTTTGCAGTAACTTGCTGCATGTCTATACAAATGATCCCATCCACACATTTAGGAAACACTAAAAATCACAAGACCATACAATAAAAAGACTTAAGGTCTGTTTCATGCATCAAAAGGAATAATGCATTATATATTTTGTGATATGCTTCAGAGTTTGAATGTACTGGCTGGTTTCCAGGATTTATAATTAGTTATACCACCACTGGACTTCAAAGGTGGAGGCCTGCAGGTGGAGCAAAAGTTTAGACTTTTTTTAACACCAGCAGCTGATCCACCTCATCTGCTGTTGTGCTTTTTCTGTTCTTATGACTTCACATAACTTCACATATGTTCTGTTCTTATTTTTGCATTTTACATGATGAGCAAGGCGGGAAAAAGCAAGTTGTAAGTCAAAAGTAAGAGTTTGATGTGAGTTTACAGCAGTGGCGAAGTGGGTGTCTAACAGGAAGAGGCAACCCTGTGTGGTTTGAACACAAATGGAGTGAAGAGAATGAGGCCTGTAAGAGCAAAAGCCAAACCTACAAGGAAGCAGTAAAAAACAGCTGAAAAAACATGCTCTCAAGAATAGCAACAAACAGCTTTATCTGACTTAAACCACTGC